GTGAATTTTAAAAGAACATATGTGTGTGTGTGTGTATGTGTATATATACACAGTGGAGCTCTGGTGGCACAGTGCGTAAGGTATTTGACTGCTGACCAGAATGTTGGTGGTACAAACGCACCAGTCACTCTGTAGCAGGAAGACGGGACAGTGTACTTCCATAAAGATTTACTGCCTTGGAAACCCAAGTGAGCTCTTTATGAGTTGAATCAACTTGACGGCAGTGGGTGTGGTTTGTGCCTAAAACATTTGACTGCTGACTAGAAGGCTAGTGATTCAAACCCACCAGCTACTCCATGGAAGGAAGACTGGGCAATCTACTTCCGTAAAGATTTACCACCTTGGAAACCCTAATGGGGTTGCTATGAGTCAGAATCAGTTCGATGGCATTGAGGTTGGGTTTTTTGGGTTTTTTTTTTAATCTCTATCCATCTATATGTTTTTTATTGGTTTTCTTCATAAAAAATAACATTTTGTTCCACAAAATAGAAGAATACTTTCTTTCATGCCAAATTCTACAAAGTGGAAAAGCATTTTGTAGAACTTGGCATGAAAGAAACTGATGTCTTTTTCATAGTTTTCTCTCTTGAAGAATTAAAAATGCTTTGCATAGATCACCTTACATTTTAAGTTGGCCAGCGAGATAAATATGTAAATGGAATAACTGTTTAATTAAATGTCAGGAGTAAATGAAACTAATGTTTTCATTATACAGATAACTAATTTGCACTAGGAAAATAATGCATTGATCAGCGGACAGTTAGGGGGCTTTATCTTGCCAGTAAGAGATGACTCAGTTACTATCTTTTGAGTAAAAATCAACTTTGCAAAACTCTATTTTCCCTTATTAGAAGAACTTTGTTTAATACCCGACTTTTACTTATAAAAACATTTATAACAGTTACGGCGTCTATAAAACAAATCATTTGCTTTATCTACATTATTATTCAGTGTTGTTATTACTATTATTCTCTTTTTCAGTTTCAAGTTTCCTGCAGAGTACAGATATTTTGAGACAAGAAAACTTTGTAATTACATTCAATACTGAGATTATCTTTATGTGTTTCATCTTTCATATTTATTTGTGTCTCAAGCATTTATTTTCCTGTTTGTATCTTTTTCCCATTAGCTTCATAGCCTATGCCACATGTTAATGAATGTTATGCAGCCAGTTGCTGCTGTTAGCTGCCGTTGAGGCTGCCCCAAGCCACGGTGCCTGTGTGCACAACACACTGAAGTGCTGCCGAGTCCTGTACCACGTCCATAAGCAGCTATGGCTTGGACCATTGTGACCCACAGGGCTGGGCGAATTTTCTAAAGTAGATCACCAGGCCTTCCTTCCTAGATCATCTTAGTCTGGAGCGTCTGCTGAAGCCTGTTTAGCATCATAACAACACACAAACCTCCACTGACAGATGGTGATGGTTTTGCATGAGGTGCATTGGCTGGGAATCAAACCCAGATCTCCTGCATGGAAGGCAAAAATTCTCCCACCGAGCCAACACTGTCCCCATTGCAATTAGGGAGACTAAAAGTGAAGTGACTGTTGATTAAACAGTTATACAGACAGATTTATGTGTTATCTCCTTCAGAGTAGGCCCTTCAGGAATCCCATTTTATAAGTATCTTTATTCTAGCAAGGTTGTATCAGAGGCTAGGGCCTTGACTTTTGGGAAGAGTTAAAAGTAGCTTGGAACCAGATTCAATAAGTAAGAGATGAGCAACTTGTGTAGCAAAGAGGGCTAGAATTTCTTAAGCCCCCAGTGTCAGGAATTTTACATACAGCAATTCATTTAGTCCTCTCAATGCCCCTGCTCTGTTGTCTGAATTGTAAAGCTTGAGAAGTTCAGAGCCGTAAATGGCCTGTCCAGGTTCACATAGCTGTTATTAGTATGCTGATTATTTTATTCACCCTTTTGCATTTTTTTTTTAAACAATGTGTCCCTGAAGTATAAAAATAATTTTTCTTGTCTGCTTTATAAACAAATTCTGGATGTAAATGAGCAAGAGGAAATAAAAAAATATTTTGAAGAATGTTGTAATTATTGAAGTAAATAACTTCTTGGAGGAAAACTCTAATACAGATGTCTATGTTCCATTAATGTATATGAGAAAACAAGTGTTTTAGATTACGGGTCATGCATGATAGATGACCTTACCTACTTTTTTCAAATTATCTGACTTGAATTTTGTACTGGGTTTTAAATATGTTTTTGGCTTTGATTAACTTCTCTGTGGAGTGATTGATTTCACATACTATGGAAGTAACTTTAGGAACTGTACTTTGATTATTTTTGGTCAGACAGCTAAAAGCCCTTGCTGCCATAAGATTGCTTTTTCATAGACAATTAATAATACAAAAGTTGGAGACAGGAGGGATGGGACTACCAAACTACACCATGAGATTCTGGTCCTGGGTGGAGGCTGTCACCGTGTGGAGGCTAGAGCAGAGAGAGCTCTGGGTGGCACAGTGCTTGGTGCAGGTATTTTTACAGTCTTTTAAGGCACTGGAATTATGCCAGTAATATTTGTTTTTTCCTTGAAGGTATCAGCATAGGGTTCTTGAGATGTAGTGAATGGAACATTTTTCTATGATAATTTCAAGATAACTTCTTGCTTATGCTTTGTGACTTTTTTTTTTTTTAGGATTTGGG